GACAAAAGGTGATCACATGACTCTAGGACATTGCAATTATGGTAAATATATCAGTTAAGTGTCCAAACTTTGATCATATGACCATGGGAATGCTGCAACGGTTGTAAATGTGGAAAAACGGTCATAAGTCACTTTGTTTAGTGCTGTTGTAACTTTGGTCACTAAATAAATTATTGTAAGTTGAGGACTACTTGTAATTTCCTTTTACTAGAAAAAGTAAATAAAACAATTGCAAGTTTCTGTAAATAGCAAAACATGAAGATTTATTTATGTTTCTTGAATTTTTCTTAAACTGGGTGGAGAAATTATAACGTGCAAATTTTGGAAGAAAAGATTTGACATCAACATGATGGAATATATGCTCTATTGTGAAGCAACAATGCTTGTTGGGGAAAAAGTGGCAATGTAAAAGTTTTCTGCCCACTTTATTATAGTTAGTGATTGGTATGCCAAAAGATATTTATGTCAAATGTACATAATAAAGGAAGAAGAAACACTATTAGAAATCAATGAGGATTAAATGAACATAAAGCAACAGGGACTAACCAGTTCAAAAGAAATTCACTGAGGTGATCTGGTGACAATGAAAGAGTATCAAACTGGAAATAAAACATTGTGAAATAAAAATGAATGGTCTGGGAAGGGAAATCATGAAAGCAGTGATTGGATAGATTTGATGAGATCCTCAAAAAAGAAAAGATAAAAGGTTAAAAAATAAAACAATACATGAAATAGTGTATGGACAGAGTGGAAATAAGCATATTTTGCAACGATGATTATGAGTAATGTTGACATAAAATATTTTTAGTTATATTTCTTTTTTGTATTTCCTACCTTTATTTTTGTTTACCTACTCCCTTTCTATTGTTTGCATTTTATTGCATGCCCTAAAAGACAATATTGTCATGAGTATCTTTTATATATAGAAAACCCTTTGACCAGTCTCTCAGGTAGGAAAGAGAGGACACAGAATAGCGCATTTAAAAATAATACTCAGTCAGCCTACTATCTTAAAAGGACATTGTGTGGTCTGCCATTTATTCTAATTCCTTATATCAAATTATTTTCTGAACATTTAATAAATAAAGCAACCAATACTCTTGTTATAAAAATAATATTTTGTTGCTACAGGTCCATTAACTGAACTGTCCTTCTTCTTCTATTAGTTAAATAGTTGTGCTGATATTTCTTGAACAGTACTATAATAGTTTACCTGACTTTAGATAATTACTATGCTTTCAGTTATTTTAAATAAACTGTCAATATAGTTACAATTATAACAACATAACAAGTATATCAGCTCAACCAATGAATTGCTAAGGTTCATATCAAGACAAAACAAAACATTATTTTTCATATATAAAGCATGCGTTTTTAAGTTAGAATTTCTGGGTAGAATGAAATGAAAACTGTCTCTTTGGATAATATGCTAAAAAAAGAAAATAAAACCTATAGAATTCTCTTCTGACAATGCCTTAAACTAAAAAAAAAAATTAATAGGTAGTCAATTAAGACAGTGAGGGGTTCTTGGTTGCCTCTGAGCTTTACCTGGTTCTCACTGATGTTACCTAGTTTTGGTAATGAAAAGTCTCAGAAAGCACCAAGGAGCCCTTATTTCAACCCTGAGCTACAAATACCCTCCTTTATTAATTAAGACAGTCTCAACAGAATGGCATATTTTCATTGGCTATGTAAAATGAGAAATATATAACTCCTTAAATNGCACCGCCCTAAAGATCTGGCTGTCCCGGCTGGCATGGGGGTAAGACTCTAACCCCTACTCGAATTGTGTGGCTGTTGTGTTTTTTTAATATGTTGTATTGTCTGTATGTTGGAAATTGTTTGTCCTCCCCCCCCCTTTTTTTTGAACTGTGAGCCGCCCTGAGTCCCCCCAGGGAAAAGGGCGGCATACAAATAAAGGGGAAAAAAAAAACTCTACCTCCTCTTTTTGTAGATCTGTTTCTTTTGAACAATTTGCACCCATCCATCAGTACATGCCAGGCATAGGTTTCGTCCCACCTGTTTCTGCAAGGTATCCTGTACAGGTATCAACTATGTAAGAATGTAAGATATTCTGTCAGGTATCAGCTATGTCCTACCTGCCCTCCTGTATTATTCCTTCTAGTCCGCCCTGTTTGTTCCCCAAGCTTTGAGCATTTGCATATAAGCATTTCAGGCTTTTGTCCCTGTCCATGGGTTTGATTCCTCCATCTCCTAGTTCTTGTTTGGGTTGATCCTTTCCCGCCATCACTCACTTATGATTGGTTTTGTGGTCCTGTCTGTATTATTTTTACCAACAAGGCAACAAACAGATTTAATCTGCCTCATTCCTTCCTATTTTCCTCACAGCAACAATCCTGTGAGGAGGCCTGGACTGAGGGAAGGTGACTGGCTTTCATGCCTATGCTGGATTTAGAAGTCACAGGGACCGTGGTGATTGGTCCAAAGTCACCTAGCTTCCATGCCTAGACTGGGACTAGAACTCACTGTCTCCTGGTCATTCGCCCAAAGTTAACCAGTTGGCATTTGTGGCTAAAAGCAGGACTAGAACTCCCAGCCAACTCCTGGTCATCGACCCAAAGTCACCCAAGGATTTGAACTCAGGGTCTCCTCCTCCTCCTCCTCCATTCGTGCCTTCTTTTTAATCCCGTGCTGAGATTCCTGCTTCTCCTCTCCGAATCCTCCAGAGATCCAGAAGAGCAAGGAGAAGGCGCAACGGAAGGGGGACCAGAAGGAAGAAGCCGTTCTCTGCAACCAGCTCGGAGAGATTTTAGCCCGTCATGGTGAGCATCCCGGGGGGGGGACGGGACGGGACGGGGGACGCCCTCAGCTCAATTGCACCTCGGAAGCCACTAAAAGTGGTCTCAACTTACACAACACTTCACTTAGNACTGCATGAATCCAGCTTTGGAAACAGTACCTGTATTTCATATTGTTTTTATTACAAAAACCTAAAGCCATGCTTTTAAAGAAACTATAATTTGTATTTTAGAAGAAAGTTTTAATCCTAGAAACAAATAGGCAACACGATTGTTTATGCCTCCATGGGGAGAAGCGGATGGGAGGGAGGATTCATTCAAAGAAGTGATTACTTTTGACAAGTGCAGCGGGGCTCTGCTCTGGACTAGGGCGAAAACTTCCCATCATTTTCTCCAGGCGAGGCTTTAGGATTTACTACCTCTCTTGTTAACTGCTTTTGAAATGTTTGGGGTGCCTGTTTTTTTTGTTTCCCCTAACGAGCTGACGAAGGGGAAAAAAGAAAACCCGGAAAACAGATAAAACCACCCACAAATTCCTGGGAAGAACCCACCACATCCACCCGAAACAGGGGGAAAGGCTCGTAGGGGGGACGGGTGGGAACTCAGAGAAAAGAGGGTTAGTAGGTCAGAGGCAGCCCAGGGGCTGGTGGGGAGGGCCGGTCTCTTTCCCCTCGGGAAGAGACGGGAAGGCCGGTGAGAAGCGGGCGGCAGAGCCAAAGAGGAACCAGAAGGGAGGCAGGCGAACAGCCCCGAGTCCTAGGCAGGAGAGCCGCAGAGACCGGGGGCTTCGGCCAAAAGAATCTCGCCCAGCAGCTCCGGAGCCACACAAAGGGGACGCGCCGCGGCCTCCAGCCTTCCTTTCCCGCGAACGCCGCTTGTTTTTCCGGAGCCTAGCCAAGCCCGGCCCCTCACCCTGAACTTACCCAGCCAGCCCCGCTGCTGCTGCTGCTGATCCTCCGCCTCCTGCAGCCGCGGCCGCGCTCAGTCCCCGTCGCCGCCACTGCCCCCCGCGCCGTCGGCGTTGCCGCCACTGTTGCCGCTCACTTCGCTCGCTCGCTCGCTCCCAAGCGATCCCGCCGCTGTCGCAAAAGCTGAGCTTCTCGGCCGCCGAGCGAGGCCGACGGAGCGACAACCAGGCCGCGGCGCTTTACGGCAGCCTTTCGGCGAGGTTCTTCTTTCTTCCACGTGGATCGGCCAGAAGGAGAGGAGAGTCGCCTCCGGCCGCCATGAAGCGACCGAGTGAGTAGCGCAGCGGCTATTGGGGAAACGGGGGTGGGCCGGTAACAGAAGTAGGCCGGTCGGTTAATAATTCGCGACTGAGGGAAGGAGCTCCGTCTCTCCTGGGCCTTTGCTTCGCGAGCCGTTCCGGCCAAAATCGATCCGGATCGGGAGGGCCGCTTGCCCTCCACAAGTCATGAAGTGTAAAGTCGTCTTCTGGAGAGGCTCCTGCGATCTAAGGCCCACCTGATCCAACCTGATGTTCTCCCCCGTATGTGCTGGATGGCTCTTCCGTAGCCAGCGGAGCACACGAGGGAGGGAGATTGGAGGAGAGTCTGTGGGTAACATCGAGGTTTTCACTCATCCAGCTCATGGTTGTCCCAAAGGTGCTGTTAATATAACCTTTATATTATTTATATATTTATTATAGTATAACCTTTGGGACAAATAAATAAAATAAATAAAATTGGGGCATGCATAAGTGCACCAGCATGCCTACCGTCCCTGTTCTACTGTCTCCATTTATTAGTACCCTTTTACTGTGTTCATATTTATACTTATACCTGTTATCTTTTACATGTTTGACAAATTAATTAATTAATTTAAAAAACCCAAAACAAACCATGAGCCTGGATAAGTGAAAACCTCCGTAGATAGCAAGCCATGTTACCAACATTCTTCTCCCATCCATCTCCAGCCCTCATGGGAAGAAACTTCTTCAGCTTCAGAATTGGATGAGAAAAGTTTTCAAGGGGAAAAAAAAGTCCAGTTGCCTTTTGAATAGGACCTTTGAAGTAACATGACTTGCCGGCACACACACACACCCAAAGCTGATGCAAAATTAAGTAGCAAGAAGCAAATGAAAATTCTAAGCAGTCTAGAAGTGGGGCCCTAATTGTACTTCTTATTTTGATTTTCTAAGGATTTTGTTGTTCTGTATGGCTTTTAATATAACCAGAGATGAGTTAATTAAATTTCTACTTGTACTAGTGAATTCTGGTTGTTTTTTTAAAAAAGTTCAATGAATGGGAAAGCTTTCAATTTTAAAACCTATAATGAAGGAGGGAAATCATTGGGAAAAGCCAAGGATATTATATACTATGTCAGCTAACTATTTGTCTGTTTTACTTTAATGACCACAGACAATAAGCAATTGGGACTAATCCAAAATACTGAATGAGACTTAAATTTTAAGTACTATGGGGCAAGAAAAGATTACATTCCTAATCATATTGTGTGTTCCTGTAAAGGCAGGATAAAATTGTAATATTACCTAAGTAATCTTGGTCTGTTCAGACATTTTATTTCCTATTTATTATGTTTCTAGATTCATAGCTGTGGAAAAGTAGTGTGGCACACATTTCATTTGTCCAATATATGGTGATAGAATTTAACTTTTTGCATTTTTGCCTTTCAGAGTTAAAGAAAGCTAGTAAGCGCATGACCTGCCACAAACGGTATAAAATACAGAAAAAAGTAAATATGTATTTTGAATTAATTTCTATTTAAAACAAGTATGGATTTTGCTGTTCCCATTGTGTATCCCAGTTGTCTGTCCTTGTTTACAGTTGTTCGCTACAAAGAAGAAAGGTTATTTGAATGCTTTTATGAGAAGTATGGAAAGAACATAAAGTTCATGTTATAATTAACTATTCAGTGGTATAGTTCTTGCTTCAGAAATGTTTCGTTCAACATTTCATTTCCATTCTTCTTGAATTCTTCCTGTCTTCAGTTTAATGACTCTTTGTCATCATCAGTATCAGTTACCTTCACAAAGAAGTAGAAAAGTGCCATGCTTTCTTTACAGCCTATTTTTGTTATAGTTAAATAACATTGCAGAATTTTATTTAAAAAAGAAGTTCCGTTATTTTTTGTTCATAACCTCCACAGTAGTCAACAAATGTTGAGTATATCTCTGTTTCTCTCAAAAATTTAAAATATCCTGCAATGCTCCTGTGAATTTGCTGGGATACTCCGAATCCCATCATCCAGCCAGTGTAGACTGGCAACTACCCGGAGGAGGGCCTTCTCGGTGGCTGCTCCGACCCTCTGGAACGAACTCCCCGTGGAGATTCGGACCCTCACCACCCTCCAGTCCTTCCGCGCCGCCCTAAAGATCTGGCTGTCCCGGCTGGCCTGGGGTTAAGATTCTAACCCCACTCGAATTGTGTGACTGTTGTGTTTTCTTTTTAATATGTTGTATTGTCCTTAGGTTGGAAATTGTTTGTCCTTCCCCCCCGCCCTTTTTTGAACTGTGAGCCGCCCTGAGTCCCCCCAGGGAAAAGGGTGGCATACAAATAAAGGGAAATGAAAAAAAATGAAAATGAATGAAATGATACCTTGGTGCGCGGTTTGGAATGTACAGTTATAAACTAAAGTTTTTAGAATTCATGATTAGGAATAAGCTGTTATAGTGTACGTCATACTTTTGATAAAGAATAGAAAGAAGGACTGTACAAGTAAAAAGGTTTCAAAGCTCCAGAAATCAGAATAAAAATTAGTATTTTGTTTAGCATCCATAGCTGACTAAAATAGCAAAGATAAGATATACTGCGATCCAAATTTGTGTGCCTTTCTTCTATTTTCTTTGAAAGATGTGCTGCCTCATTTGTGTTCCGATAATTAATTGCCTACCATATTTATTAAAATATGTCCCTTACAAGCTAAGAATATGTAGTGTGTTAAAGCCTCTGTATGAAAAGGAAAGCGAGATAAAAAAAATCCATCGTAGTAAAGTTGGCCACTGTTTTTTATAGGTACGAGAACACAATAAAAAACTTCGAAAGGAAGGCAAGAAACATAAACACAAGAAGCCAAAGAAAGATCCTGGCGTTCCCAATGCTGCCCCATTTAAAGAAGAGATTCTTCGGGAAGCTGAACATAGGAAGCAACAGGTAAAACGATTTAAACTTTGGTGTGTAGCCATATAAAATTGGAAATCAACCATTTTTTATTAAAAGCAGAACTGATACTTTGTGCACCTATCAGGAGTTTTAAAACCATTATTCTGGGTTTTCTGGGATTACAGAAAAAAGTAATATGCAGTTTTGTATATCCATCAATATCTGCTAAAATTATTAAAACATTTTATGCCACATGTCATGCAGTGCATAATGTATGCAGTTCTGTACAGTGAAATTCTGTAACCAGATAAACATTAGAAGAATTGTCATAATTAGTTTTAAAGCAAGGTCAAGAGGGTTCTAATTGTCATAGTGTATAAGAACATATTTATATTTTGTGCTAATAGCGTGAAGAATTGAAACAGAAGCAAAAACTTGCTCGTCAGAAGGAACTAGCAAAGAAACGCAAACAACAAGCAAGTACCAAGGATGCCGGTGATGAGGTATGAATTTTTAGAAAAGCACTACATTCAGATTGTGCTGGTCAGTGGAAGGAATATTTCATTAACTTGAAAAAAATCACATTTATTCCCTTCAGAATAATTGTCCCCTGAGCCTCTGTATCTGTACCTATATCTAGTCATGGGGTGGGCGATCCAGCCTATGGCTGCTCTTGAATGAAGTACACAACCAAGACCCACCCCTCTTTCCTATGTTGTTTAGCATCTATTTGAAAATGCTATGGGAGATCATTATTCAGTTTGGAATATGGTATTATGAGTGAACTGATTCTATTCAAGTCTTGAACCAGTATCTGCAGGCTATAGGGATAGGGTGAGGAAAACCAAGCTCAGATTAAATCTACCTGGTTGTGTAAGCATCTTGACTGTTTGGGAATATTGTGTCCCGTGGTGGTTCTAGTTAGGTGCTATTCCTCCTGAAGGAGCACATCTGACATTTGAGAATTTCCTTGATTTTTGGTCAGGGGCTTTTGTTCAGCTTCAGATGATGCAGAGATTACCACTTGTTCTGGACCAGAAATCCTTAGTGACACTAACTCATGCCTTGATCACCACATTATAGGATTCTTATGTGGTGCTGCCTTTATAGACAATGTGCTATAACTAGTGCAGAATATAGTAACTAGACAGCTTATACTGAAGACCCATAATTGCAAAGTGGCCCCTCTTCTGCACTTGCTGCTCTGATTGCCAATACATTTTGGAACCTAATGCAAAACACTGATTATTGCAAATAAAACTAGTCAATGTTTATTGCGTTATGTCAGGGATTTGCTTACTGTGATGTTCTTTGAATATCTAGGTGGGATCTACTTAAGGTTTTACCCCTATGGAAAGTAACGGGGAAAGGAATAGGCCAAAAGGCAGGTCAACTCTAATTGCCTCCTATGTAGTCAAACACACTGCTATTTCAGAAAACCATTCTATTTCAGCAGACTTTTGGCCCCTAATGAGGAATTGTGGGCAACCTCTTAGTTTTACATTTTAGGCTGTTTCTTCAATGAACTTAAAAGTATTTTAGTTGGACTGGTTATATATTCTGTTTAGCACACTGCCAAGTGTCTGGATTAGGAGGCTATATAAATGCTGTAAATTAAAGAACAAACTTTTATCATTGCTCCCTGCTATTATAAGTGATAATTGGTTTCCTAATTTCTAAATTTTCTTCTGATTTTTTTCATTTATTTATAGAAATCAACTACAAAGCAAAAAACGCAATCTAACCACCAGGTCCAAAAAAATTCAAAGAAATCATTTTGTGAGGAGTTTAAAAAGGTGAGAAAATTTTTCAGATAAAAGAAATGCTATATTTATTTATTTTTAAGAGAGCTATTCGTTTGACAACTCACGGTAGTTTAAGAATTGCTTTGTTCTTCACATAAGTCAGTTCTGCTCTTTGAGAAAAGGCA